TCAATTGCCCCATTTGCCCACATCATATCGATTCTGGATCAAGATTTTTGTGGGCTGGAATAAAATGTAAATTTCTTCTCATTTGGATTTCTCTTCCTCCATATGTCTTCCAAGTTAGTCTCTTGTGTTAAATCGAAAAAAGTGTTTGGTAGAATTTTCTTTCTTTTCTTCCTGGTCTCTTCCATACTAATATAATCTTTTTTAACATCAACAATGGCATTGAAATCCCCTATTAAGCAAATATTTTCTTCACCTACACTAATTATTTTGTCATAGAGTCGCTTATAAAACCTCCTCTGGTTATCGTTAGGGGCATATATCCCCACCAATAGTAATTGTTTTTGATGCAAATTAATTTGTATCATTAAAATTCTGCCTTGTTTATCTGCATAATTTTTTTTGGCATTTATCCCTTTTTTTTACATAAATTGCTACCCCACTTTTCTTTCGATCTGCCAATGCTGTAAATAATACACCTAACTTGGGATATTCTAAATATCTTTTGTGTTGTTTTTGGATATGTACCTCCTGCAGGCATGTAATGCCAATGTTTTGTTTAGTTAATTTAGTTAATATTTGTTTCCTCTTGATCTGGGAGTTTAATCCGTTGATGTTTATTGAGAGTAGTTTAATCTCTTCTTCCATTGTTGATTCTGAGTCTACCTAAATCTTCTGTTTGTTCTTGCTTCTCTTTGGGGGGTCTTGTTCTTAGTCCTTCTCTCCTTGGGTATTCTCTCTTTTCTTTGCCTCTCTCTTCTTGGTCCGTTTCCTGTATTCCCTGTTGTTGGTCTTCTTATTGGCCCTCCTGACTCTTGCTTTCCGACTCTTCTTTGCTGCTCCCCTCTTCCTCTGTTTCTATCGGCTGATCATAAAATTCTTGCACCTTTTCAATGCTGTCACTTTTCACTCTTCTTTCTTGCCACATCACCAGCATTCCTTCAGGGATGGTCATCGGAACCAGATGTTTTGTTTATTCAGAAGTATCGCCAGAGATCTATAGTCCTTCCTCAGCTCTCTCACCTGCCTCGGGATTTGTTTCAAGGTTGTGATCTCTCTTTCTTTGTGTACCATTGGCTCGTCCTTTGTAATTCTCTTACGTTTTCTCTGGCGAACCTAATGCGAACCTCCCTTGGCAGCTTGTTCCACCTGGTGTAGTTTGTATGAATTTGAAAGACCTCATCTAATTCTTTCACTATTTCCTGTTGGTCCCTTTGCAATGCCTCTGCTATTAAATGGGACATTATGGCTCCTGGATCATTATTTTTGGATTCCAATATATTTTGGAACCTCAAATAGAACGCTGCACATTCCATTTCGAATCCTCTAAATCTCTGTTCATCTCTATTACTTTCCTATCCATCCCTTCCAATCTCTTGCCTGTTTGTTCAGCTTCGATTTCTCTATTCTTTATTCTTTGTTCATTTTTCTCCATTGTCTGCTGGATCGTTCCTATCTTCTCCTCCAGGTTTTGGATCTTACCCTTCATTTCTCCCATTTCCATCTTCATATCTGTGTGGTTGTTTACCATTGTCTCCTGCATTTTAAGCCTTGTTTCCTGAATAGCTGTTAATGTTGCTTACATCGTCTGCACGTTAGCCATGTCGCTTGTTTTTTCCATGTTTGGCATTCCTTCTATTGTTTTTTTGACCTGCTGGAGATGCGATAGACACTAATGAACCAGAAATTGGTTTTTCCCCTTTCAAAGTTGTCATAGTACTGGTCATGTTCCGAACTTTGTTATAGTTATCTTCCCACTTTACCATTCACTATTTAATTCTCCTTTCGTTATCAATTCTATTCAATACTTTCCCTTAAAATTTATCTTTTCACCTTTCCAACTTATGGTATTATATGTTATTCAAGATTGATTCAGTCTTCTATAGAGTCTAAAGCTAGCTGGATCACCTATATTAGAGAAGAGAGAGAAGAGAGAAAGCAAGAGGGAGGACAGGAAGGATAGTATCAAAATAAAGAAGAAAAGAGAGAAAGGGTGTGATAGAATAGCATAAAATATAATTACTATAAATTGTTCTTATACAACTACATTATATTACTATAGTATGATATATCAACTATATTCTTTATCCTTAACTATAGGGTTCAGTTTCTTTTAAACAAGTAATAGATGTTAAAATATAGAGTTAAACAAATCTAGATTCCACTACACACACACACACACACACACACACACACACACACACACACACACATATTTCTTAAGTTTTCGCGGGTACTTACATGTATGGCATTCAGCTTTGTTCGGGTATTTTCCCACGTCATTGTAGTTGTGCTTTTAAAGTTGTAGCAACGTTTCGGCAGAATCTCATCTGCCATCACCAGGCTTCTGTATGTATGTGTGTGTGTGTGTGTGTGTGTGTGTGTGTGTGTGTGTGTGTATCTCCTTATTTCATTAGTTATTAATAATCAATCAGTCAATAATCATCAAGGTAATATTTCATCAATCTTCTCACAGTTTCATATCATTTGAACTTTTAAATTCCTAATAAGCTCAATCAAACCTTAATCGAACTGTTATTTCATTAATTGTATTCTGTAGAAAGAGGTTCAGTATTCATTCACTTTCCTTTCCCTGTCCGTTCACGTTTTGTTTAACCACAATCTGCTGCATCAGCTTCTCTTCTCTCTGTATAATCTCAAAATGTCACTTCTGTTCTTAAATTCAGTTCTGTCTCTTGCTTTTTTCCACCGTTCTTCTTTTCCAAGTCACAAATCCATCAGATTAGGCTCCAAATTCCTAAATAATCAGTCTAAATCAGCTCCAAAGTTTTCAGGACAAGTCCAAAACACCAATCAAACTTTAATCAAATAAATCGGCTTCAGTCTCGTTTTAAAGGTTCCTTGCTTTAACCGCCAGATCGCCATTTCCATTCGGACTTCTGTCCTTGATTTTAAGACTCACAGTTCTGCCGTCTCTCTCTGCCGTTTCTTTCCTCGACTTTTGCTTTCCGCCTTCTTCACTTTCAAATCCAATCTGCCATTTGATGCCAAAAATGCTGTTCATGCTCTGGTGTCTTCCTCATTGGGTTAAAGCGCCACGGCTTCGGTCTGCCATCGAGACGGCCGATTACTTACACATCGGAGCAAATGGGGTCTCCCTCAAAGCTGTCAACTGCCGCTGCTGTCAAACTCCTCATTGGTCTTCCTCACACCTTTGTCTTCCCCTCCAGGGTTACGTGCCCCTCACTGGAGCCTCAGAACGTGCAGATTGGGGATGAGAGAGCAGAGCTTGCTCTTCTCCCCCCACTCTGCCACAGAGCTGCAACCAGAAGTCCTCTCTCTCTCTGACATCTATATAATCTGTCTCTTATATCTGTCTGTCTGTCAGTCTGTCTGTCTATCTATCTATCTGTCTGTCTGTCTGTCTGTCTGTCTATCTGTCTAAATATCTGTCTGTCTGTCTGTCTGTCTATCTATCTATCTATCTATCTATCTATCTATCTATCTATCTATCT